CCCCAAAACCCCAAAACCCCAAAACCCCTCATTAAGAATAAAATATTTTGTGGTATTAATTTAATTTGTTTAGTTATGGAAGTAAAAGATAAAGTTAAATAAACTTCAAGCCTCATCATCAAGTTCATCATCTTGTCCATTCATTGATCTTTCATACTCTACCGTATGATTGATATAGTTGATCTCTTATAAAATGGCTCCAAATAATGAATCTTGAAGATGATACTTTCTCTCATATCCATTAACAAACTTTAAGTGCAAAATCGAAGGTGAATAGTAAGAAAGGTCTCCTCTAATATTCATTTTATAATCAAATCCTGGTTGAATGTATTTTGAAGATATCGTGTTTAATAGTCTGAGCATTTGCATAGATTCCTTCATTGCTGTTTAATGAGCTGGATTCACGTCCATTTTTATGTTGGTAATATATCTAATCCAGTGAGTCTTTAAAGACCCCTTGAAGATCATAGTTGCCTTCTTCTTTCCCATTTTATGTTTTAATAATTAGTATTATAATTAAATTCAAAATTATTAAATCATCTCAAACCTATCTCCGGAAAAATATATTTCAAATGCCAAGAATAGACCATCTAGCCAAAAAATAAAAAAAGTATAAGAAAAAAAGGAATAGAGAGGATGAAGGCTATGATTCAGATCCAAAAGAAATTCACATTCCACAAAAGAGAATGAAATTAGGATGCAGTGAAAGTGCCAGTGTTTTTTAATAGTCCACTCCTATGTTCGATAATTTTAGTTAAAACGAGTTCACTATGATATAAGCCCCTGAGTAACAATTTTCTTGTGTCAATGATTTTCATGCCGGTAATGGTAAAAAGAAATAGCCAAAAGAGAAGCTTAAAATACTTAAGACTAATGAATTTTTGAAATTCTACAGCTAGTATTCCTCTTATTATGTAGACAAAAGTCTCTGGATTAAGGAGGTATTGGAAAATAAAAATAGAGTTCAAGTTTACTGCAGACCAAGAGGCATGGGTAAATCTATGAATCTATTGATGCTCTAAAAATTTCTAGATTATAGAGAAAACACTGAATCAATATTCTCAACTCTCGCGATAAACGAGAACTAGAACTAATAAATTATAGATAACTACTTGAATAAGCATCCAGTAATTACATTAAGATTTCCTAAGATACTTAAATCATGTAAAGGAATTGATAACGTTGAAAATGATATTTATGACTTCTATAACAAAGATATTAAGTCTCTCTACCTCAATACTTTTTAAGCTGATATGCAATTAAAAGAGGAGCCTAAGAAGATTATAAATAAATTAATAGACACTCTATTCTCTAAATTGAAAAAACAAGTATATATATTGATAGACGATTACGACTTTATTTTCACTCAAGGACTATATCATGACTTTGTGAATGAATCATTAGAGATTTATAAGCAAATACTACCGAAATAATGGTTATATAATGAAAAGATTGCCAAAGTTATAATTACTGGCTAGTATTGCATTGATATTCCTAGAACTTGCATTAACAACTTGGATTCAAGTTTAGTTATAATGCTCAACCCAAGTTCTCCTTAAGCATTTGGCTTCAATGAGAAGGAAGTTAATCAATAAATGAAAAACTTTAAAATTGATCAAAAATCTAAGTAAAAGGCTATGGAGTTTTATAATGGATTTTGTTACACTTACACTTAGCTTTATTCTCCAGCATCCATCAACGGATTTTTGTATGATTATCAGAATAATAAGGTTAGACAGCCAAAATCATATCAATTTTCTCAGCATAAGCTGATTAATAAAAATTTGAAACTTATTAAATTGGAGGAGAAAGAATTCCTTGATATGCTTGTAGATTTATTCCATGGTAAAATTTAAATTGACTATTATTCGAGATTGAGATTAGATTAACTAAAGACCACTATAGTTTTCACTAATTTTCTGATACAATCTGGGTACCTATGTTAAGATACAACCAACGAAACAATAAAGATTACTAATCAAGAGATTATGGCTGCATTATATAAGATATATCTTAAAAATCTTAATATCAACATAACTTCAGCTTAAATAATTCAATATTTTAGAACAGGAGATTTTAAGAATAAATCTAAAAATTTCAACCTTGATTTTATGAATACAAACCTTTTGATGATTGAACACAGGCCAGAGGCTTACAAGCATTTAGTAAACGCACTTTTCCTTTAAGACAATCTAGGAGTCATTCGAATGATACCTTTTAAGTTAGAAGATAAAGAAGCAGTCATCATTATTGATGAGGAGACTAGCAGAGCCTGGATAATGGCCATTATTTTCACTAGAATTAGAGCCTAAATGAGAAGGCAAAATCTCTATGTTTTGGAAAAAATGAAAAACATCTAATATAAGAGTGATGAGCTTCAAAACATTAAGAGATCATATATTTGTGCATTTGCTTTTTTTGGAAAGGAAAACCTTATCTACTGTGTTGAAAGAAATGACTTTAAGTTAACTGACAAAAAGGACACCAATGATGTAATTGTAAGACTATGAATAATTAATTTTTATTAATCGAAAATGAGATACAGCTATCACACGCTCTTCTTCTATTTCCTCATTTAATATATCTAACCTCAACGTTTGGCTTATTTTCTCCTAGGTATTTGAAGATCTCCTTTTGCTTCGCTCTGGTTTGATAATCACTGATAATTATTCTGACTGGTAAGAGTTGTCTATCTTTGGCAATCAATGAAAGACTATCTAGATAATCCTTCCAAATAATCTTGTTTGCTTCCTTGAGATGAGTAAGTTCGATTTCCTCAATGATATTGAATTCTTTAATTGCATTGCAAAGTTCTCTCATAAAATCATTGCTGACTTTGTTTCTTCCAATATAGAGTTTTTTCAATGTAGCGGCGTGATGTCTCAAGATTTAGAACACATCTTCCTTAACTTCATCTAAATCAAATTAGAGCAATTCCAGTCCTAATTTCTCAAGACCTGTATAAGTTAAAAGATGTTCTTTGACTACAATGAAATTGTCCTTTTTGAAGTCATCAACATTCTAGCAACTCAAGGTTTTTAGCTGAGGAAGGTTTCTGAAAACACTAGAAAGATCGAATGAAGGCATATCTATGATAGTTAAGTGCTAGGTGTGATCAAGAAAAAGACTATCTAGTGTGATCTTTTCCAATGCTCCTCCATAAACTCTAAGGTCGACTGTTTGATTGAATTCAAGGAAGTCGAGTACAGCCTTTCTAAGATCCTCCTTCTCAGGTATTGTCCATGAAATAGCTGGAACTCTCTTTTACTCTTGAATGAAGATATCTAATGGGTTGAACTCCTCCTCAGTAATACCCTTGAAGGTTTATAGATTCTTAAACTTAGTGAAGAAAAGCTTGATCTTATTCATATCTCCTAAATATCTAATTTGATAGCATTTAATGGTGGTGACAGATTCAAACCAAGGGAAATTGGAGTCCTACATCATCAAGTCTAGCATCTTGGAGAAGTTTCTATCTCCAACTGTCTCTATCTTCAAGATTCTAATGCCACTGAAGTAGGTTCTAAAGACCTCAATGTATTACTTTGCGAGCTCATCAGATTCCTGTGTTCCATCTTCATCATCGAATTCCAAATAAAGATATTCGATCTGACCCATTTGATTCTTGCCTAGATTTTCAAGTTATTTCAAATGACCCTCGGTTCCGCAAATATTTCTAATCTCAACTTTCTTGGCATGTCTGATATATTTGTGGAAGCTATTGCTTTGATCGTCATCATCTTCTGGCATTTCAAACTTGAGGACGGAAATATTTCTTGGAACGATTTCCTCTGCCATTCTTTGGGAGACCTCTCTTAACTCAATTAATTTTTTGAGTTCATAGTTGCTAAGAACATGTTAGAAGGCGTTAGACTTGTATAACTTAGCTCTGAAGCTTTCTTGAGGCTCAACCATTTTCTTTCAAGTTTAATATTATATCCTAACTAAATAGATACGATTATATTAAATACTCGATCAAAATGTTTTGATAAGTTTTATCCAGATATTGCTTCTCATGGGGTTTTGGGGTTTTGGGGTTTTGGGGTTTTGGGGTTTTGGGGTTT